TAGATAAAGTTGATTTCTCCCTATTGAAAGACTCTGGGTAGAGCCTCTTTAGACGGAGAGACCCCGCTTCCCAAGAATCAGCGAGACCAGCCTTCGGATGCAAGCCGCAAGAGGTTTATTTCGATACACGGGTACCCGGGGCGACAAAGCCTTTCGGAAGACCTGCGCGCCTCTTGGTTGGGGTAACAGGTTTTTATAGGGCTCGGGAGCAAGAAGCACGGTTACAGAAGCGAGAAGCATAGTTACGGGGATCTGATTGGGGGATTTGAACAAAGCCATAGTTAGGTTACGTATTTGAAGCGGGAAGGCAGGAAAGCAGATGTGAGCTAAGTCACGTAGCCGGTTCAGAGAAGGCGGGAAAGACTCCCGGTTCTTATCTTGGGTGTCCCAATTGTTTCAGGCGCCCAACCGCAGATACCCTGTTGTTGGACACCTGTCCTGCCCTGCCTCTGACCCTGCACTGCTTGTAAAATAGTGTTGCCAGCATTATGCTAGGGCTTTTTATTTTTTTCACCTATAAGGTCATATCCAGCAGCACCTGGAATTCTTCCTCATGCAAATGAGGCATCCCAGCACCCTGGCTCAGGCCAATTATGTACAGTCATCCCAAAAGCCTCCATGCAACCCCCAAAGGTTTATGTAGCCTTTATTCCTCCCCCCCTTAAATGAGCTGTCTCACTGAAGCTGTCTCCCAAGACTGTTTCACATCACACTCACAGTCTCCTGAGGTCTCTTTCACCACAGCAGTGTTTTCCCCTTCCCTTGCACCAGTTGTGGTTGGAGGTATCCCCTAACTGGGCTTTCTTGTCCAACCTCGGTAAGAGAAGATTGACCTAGTCTTATTGCAACTTGATATGTCAAGGCTGCTTGATATCCATGGGAGGCCTCCCCTTTTCTAAAGAGAGGAGGAGGTGGCAAGGGAGGAAGAGGAAGAGGAGGAAGAGGAAGAGGAAGATGCTGGAGGGTGGCTGGGAGGAGAGGGGAAACTGTGGTCAGAATTTAAAGTAAAGAAATTAATTAATTAAAAAAATAGAAAGAAAAGGCTATTCTTCAAAAGAGCCTTTTGTGCACGTCACCGATTCAATGCCTTAGAGAAATTAAAATTAACAATGACAGAGTGTTTTGCAGAAATAATATATCTTGCTTTCCTTTCATTCCAGTTTCTAGATATTGTTTCAGTGCATCATCGTGGTTCTGCTTCAAATTCTTGAGAAATATCCAAACACACACCTTAAAGTTTAACAACCAAATTAAAGATGCAGGGATCTGAAAAGAAATGGGATGGGAAGGTGTTGGTTGAAGAAAAAAATTTCTCGACTAGCACATGGTTTCTTTCTTCCTAAACTTCCCCAAATCTGAAGGAAGAGGACAAGGACATGAGGAGGAGGAAAGGCATGATGACAGGGAGTATGCCTGTGTGGCTTCAGCTACAGAGGAGTCCAAAGTCTACCAGATGGTTGGAAGAAAAGGAACCAGGCCAGACAGGGAGGAGGCACAGTCTAGTTCCTAGGAAGTCTGGTCCACTGGTGGCAGGGGCGGAACTGATTGCCAAGATGGCTCTTCTTAGCAACCATAGCGTTTTAAAACGCCTGTGTTGTTTCCCCATGTTTGATGTATCTGAACCGACTCACACAGGGTAACTCAAAGGAGGTGATGAAGAGGAGGCGGCTTTGGTGTTCTACTGGATCCAGCCCTTTTTGTCTTCTTTCCATCCTACTTCAATTCTTTGAACCCAAAGGATTTCCAAGTAAGGGAATATGGTGGCATGGAAATAGAAGTGGAAGATTCCAAGGATGGAAAGCAGTGTAAAAGGAAAGCCAGAAGCAACCCTGACTGTGTGGAATATCTCTGATAATTCGTAAAGAGCCACACTGCCTGTTAAATGTGGTTGTCTGAGGCACAGATAGAGCCAACTGTACATGCGGCTGCCATATGTGCCAGTATCTTTCCTCAGCCATGACCACTGTAGCACTTATAGGTGGGGCACCGTTTCTCCTTCCTTCTGTGAGAGATGAATGTGCTCATTTGTTCATTCATTCATTCTATCATTCATTCAAATGTGCTCGTGGGCTGTCTGGGCCCTGTAGGAGAGTCCTGGGCAGCAGTACAGAATAACAAAATCCTTTCTGTTTACACCATGTGTAGCCCAGTGGAGAAAACCTGCCAAAATCCAAAGTAAACAGGTGCAATGAACACATGACTTGCTAAATGGTTCTTTGAAGGAAACAGACAGGCAACTGTGTAGAAGCCACAGTTTCTGAAAGGGCTATCTTGGGAGATTTCACAATGAAGGTGACCTTGATTAAGACCCTGAGGCAAGGAGGCAGTCTGTGGGAGGAGTGCTTTTGAGACAGGAAAGAGCAGGTGCAAAGCCAGGGAAGCTATTGTCTGCATGGACCTCAGGTAAGAACAGGGGTTGATGGTCCTAGAAAAGAGTAACCAGGCCAGCTAAGGTTCATTTGTGTGAAGGCTATCTCTGTTGTGTCATCCCTTAGGATGTTCTCCGTTTTGTTTGTTTTGAGATGGCCTCTGGCTTAAAACTCACCCATTTAATTAGGCTGGCTGACCAGAAAGCTGGTCTATCTCAGTCTGCCAGGGGTGGTATTACGTACAAACTTGTGTCACTATACCCAGCTTTTTTACATGGGTGCTGGAGATAGAATTCAGGTCCTGAAGTTTGCAAAGCAAATGCCTTACACTGAGCTATTGCTTTTAACTCTAAATTACATTTTAATAGATGCATGTAGACATCTGTGTCGAAGAGAGACAGCAGGAAGGCAGACGAAGGGCGGAACACAGGGACCAGAAAGAAAGCTGCTGCATGGGCTGGGGCAGTAATCATTAGATAGTGCCAGGTGGCATAGTAAGGTGATGAGCAGCCCAGAACACTCCAGGAGGGTGTCCTTATGGTCTCAGAGGCCATGACTTCACGGTGACCCCCAAGGCTTTGGCTTGCACACTTGGAATAGTGGGAACACCAGCAGGGAGATGAGGAAGCTTGAGGAGAGCTGTGTGCACAGGGTAGGGAGAGATGAGCTTAGGCATGGCTTCTGCAGGTGTGAGGAGACAGTACTTCAAAAATATGGAGAGGACTAGAGCAAGAGAAGAAAGCTGTCCCAGGAGGTGTAGTCAGGAGTCAGGGGCAGCCCAGCTGGTCCTTCATATCTTGAGAGAAGGTCTCCTTCCGTTTTTGTCCAACCTTCCAAGCGAACTGTTTTTCATCTCAGCATTTCAGAATTTAGGATGCATCTCTGACTTCTGTGATCGTTATCAACCTACTTGCTGAGGACCTTCTGCACCACACAGGTAGAGATTATGGATAAGTGTCATGTTAGGTCCAGCTGTCAATTTACCATAAACCTAGAGCAGCTATTTTAACCTGTGGATTTAAAAAAAAAAAAATGTTTTTCCTAACTATAGCAGCATTTTTTTATTCCAGTGTATATTTTGCCATAATTCATCTAACACATTGTGTTAGAACTATTAGCATATAAACAACAATTTGCAGGCTATAGATTTGTAACATCTTTATGGGACCAGTGCTCTGGCTCTGAATTAAAAAAAAAAAAAATGTATCAGTTTGTTCAGAACAGAAGGGACATTTGGCTCTGAGGATAGTTACTGTGTTTCTTCTTTTAGGTGATGGTCTGCCCCAGAAAGGTGTGATTTAAGAATTCTGGAGCTTCATCGTGGGCCTTGAGCTATAGAAACCTCTGCAGACAGTGGTGCTCGGAGTTTGACATTCCCTGCCACCAGCACATCCACATTGCGTTTGGAAGGGCAAGGGCATCTCACACCATTTTCAAGGCACCCAGTGGTATCTTCCTCTTCCCTTTTTGGAATGATGCTCAGGAATAATCCATTATCAAGCCATTAGACCAGTTGTTCTCCAATTCAGTGCTCACCAGAATAATCTAGAGAACCTGTTAAAAATATCTATTTCCTGGCTGCTTTCCCAGAAGTTGAAAGATGGAAGAAGGGCCCTGAGGGTGGTCAACATCTTCTGTTGATCATGGGAGTTTAGGAATTCCTCGGTATGGAAGGCAGAAATCAGACTTCATTGGCACAGGAAGGAGGCTCAGTGCTGCCACCCCTTCTGTGAGACCTCCAGTTTGGCTGCTTATGAGGTCTTTATTCTTGGATGACTGCTGAAGGGGCCTGCATGCCTTTGGAGATTAAGCTTCATGACAGCCCAGGTGTAACTCCAAAACAACTAAATCAAGCACAGATTGACATCCATATTTCAGCATTGGTAGTTTCTATTAGAACCTTCAGGGTTCTGGCGAACAAAGCATGCGCAGAGCTTTCATTGGGTGGAAACTGGAACCTGTCGAGCCTTTCTTTTGGATTATCCAGAACTCAGGTCTGCTTGCCGGGGTTGTGTCGTCTTGCGACAGCCGTCCACACCTGATCCCTTCTCTATAACTTGATCTACCTACACATCTTTCCTCCTTGACTTAGGTAGGAGTGGAGGTGAAACTTGGGGGATCCTGTGGATCCTGGACCTTGAAGAAAATCGCTGACGCGCCCTACTGTTCTGACTGCCAGGACAGGAAAGAATCTGGCCGGAAGCCCTGCACGTGCCTCTGCTACTGCACAGACCTCTGGGCTCCCTCAACCGCCACCCTAACTGCTGGAGCAGGTGGGGTGATGGGCGCACCACGAGACATGGAGCCCACGTGGTGGGCCCGCTGGCTCTGCTCCCACTTGCGGAACCATCCCCACAGCTGCACTGCCATGCACTTATGGGCTCCCCTACCCGGCGATGATCCCTTCATCCCCAAGCTGAGATGGCACTACACACCCGACTCCATCTCAGAGTGACCACGGTGCTGCATCACTAACGCACCACGCGATCCCTCCCTGTCGTCCGGGCTCATCCAGCAGCAGGTTGGAGTCCTAAAGCCACAGGCCCCGCCCTTGCGTTAGCCCCGCCCACCGCCACATCCCATTGGCGCTGGGGCGCGGTGTGGGCGGCTTCTGCGGGTACAGGCGGGGCAGCGGTTCTAAGGCTAGCGCGCGTGGGCCACGTCTTTACTGTTTGCTGAGCACAGGAGCCGTCCGGCACCTCTACATCTCCTCACCATGACCGAGGAAGACTCCTCCTCCTCCTCCATACCGAAGTTCCTGGAGAACATTTCTGGGGAGGGCAAATCCATCGGTGTCCTGACCAGCGGCGGGGATGCCCAAGGTGCGCGCTTACCGGCTCTCTCGCCGGTCTTCCAGGCCAGGGCGGCAAGGGAGGGCGGGCGGCGGGGGGTGGGCTGCAGTGGAGAGTAACCGGGGTGGGAACAGAGGGAGAGCTGAGGAGGAATGTTGGGTGAGATGGATCTGTGAGAAAGGATGAGGAAATGGCATTGTGAAAGTGACTAATGAGAGGCAAGGCGACCCGGTGGCCCAGGGGCAGGAAGAACCCTAAGCTAGGAACGTTAAGGTGCCTGAGGAGGGATCACAGAGGGTGCAGCCCCATTGCGGGGTGAGGTGCTCTGGATGAGGGGCATGGTTGTAGTATCCTTCATTCGCAAGACGTATCAGTTTTCCCATTCCCAGGTTTATTAACTGAGCTAGCCAATGGGGTCCTCTAGTGTCTGAGTCATATGATAGAGCCAGGTGGTCTTCCCTGAAATTAGGTGCGGGGGGACTATTCGGATGCGACAGCACCCGCCCCACCCTAATCCCTGGGCAGCGTAGGAGAAGAGCGGGGTCCCCGCAGCGCCGCCTGCCCAGTCCAGCTTCCCACGCGGCGCAGGCGGCGTCCCCGCTGCTGCATTGCGGGGATGCGCAGCTGGGGGCGCGCAGGGGTTCCTCCGGGTGTGGTGTTGGCTGCCAGGCAGCGCCTTGTGTTTTCACTAGGGAGATCTTTAAAAAGGTCTCCTGTCCTCTTCTTGTGACAAAACTGAAAACTAAAATGGGTCACTAAGGCCCTCCCTGCCAGCCTCCCTAGGGACGGGAAAGACCAGGAAGCAGAGACTCCGGGACGTCACAAGCACTCACTCGAGCACCAGCTCCAGGCTTCCCTTTTCTCCCAGTGACGGGACTGATTTCAGAGCTGAAGGGACTCGATGTCAGGACGCTTGGATTTGATAAACTAAGAGGATATCTAACATGTAAAAACGATGGGGGTGACTGTGTCACGTCCCCCGCCTCTGGCCCTGGGTACACGTGGGGCGCTGGAGTCCCCAAACAGTGGGTTTTCCAAGTTCATAATTCTAGATCTACATTTCCAGACCGTATATGCCCTTCAAGTCTTGAGGTTCCGCCAACTTCAGACAATTGTCTGAGCTAGATTTTGCTTTTGCCTTTCAGTTCTTCCCTCTGCCCTAGATGTGTCCAAATGTCATGTTTTATTTCCCCTCTTTCAAAGCCAGCACAAGAGGGGAGGCCTAGGGTAGGCGCCCGTGTCCTTGCCTTCCGCCCACCGTACGGATGACCTTCCCTTCGCCCTTGAGCGGGGCAGGGCGGCCGCCAGCTCCGCAGGTTGGGGAGCTGCTTAGGGCACCGCCCCGCCCGGCGAGGGAGCCTACGTGATGCCGGGCCCGTCGCCTCCGGTGTGCTCCACGTTTCCCTCACCAGCTCACATTAGAGCAGCATCTGAAGCGCCAAGCATCAGGCTCACAAACACCGGAAGCTTGGGCCGCCCAGTGAGGGGTCTCCAGTGCTTTCCCTCCTATTATCTTAAAGGCGCCAATGGCAGCATCGCTGGCACTAGGCCCGCCTTCCTCCGGAGAAAGCAGGGTTGCAGCACTAGTATTTTAGTAAGGAGATCCTCTGTACAAATGTTCCCTCCTGTAGGGCTGGTTTCCCAGAGAGAAAGCAGTGCTACACCGTAGGCTTGAAAAACAGCCGAGTGAAAAGTGAGATAACAGCACCGGAGTTAAATAAATGCCTGAAAATATCCATCTATTGGTGTTCAGGCAGCCAGGAATCTGCACCTCAACGCCCGTGGTTTCGCATCAATGGAAGGGCTCCAAAGTACTTGCATCCTTACACAGAACCCTGCTAAAGCAAAGTAGGAAGCACTCTTGAGTCTTATCCTGGGCAGCCAGAAAAGAAACCAGCACTACAGGAAGAGGCTTACGGCCACTAGAGCTGCAAGCTTAGGCGATAATGGTTTAATTTTAGAATTAACATCCTGGGTCAGTTAAGACTACCAATATTGATGGCTTATCATTTTAGTATCCCCGCCCAAAAATGCTTCCTGAAATTTTTAGCCTGTGTGCAACCATGTGAAATTCTAGCGGATTTGGGAGAAACTTCCTTTTCTTTTCTACTTATCTTGGACCTACCACAGGTGAGAACTCTGATTTTAAATCCACTTGGCCTCTCTTCAGTGGAAAAAGATACTTTGAGAGCCACGATTACATTTGAACATCGTATATATCAGGTCCATGGAAAAAGAAGCTGTCCACAATGTCTTGTCACACCTGAGCTCTCCCTTGGGACGCAAGACAGAGCCAAATGTGTGGGTGATCTGCCTGTTGTTTCTTACAAGTTGTGTGAACAGTCATATTTTGTTATGAAACTATATTGCGCCTGTTTGAGGGGTGCATTTTTTTTTTTTTTAAATTCTCTCAACATATGCGCAGAGGGCCTGGACTTAGCCATGCTATTCCTGAGATGGATGGTGTTTATTTATCCTGGGATGGATGGTTATTCTTTCACCATTTTATCTTGGCTTCATCAGTACCTGATTTTTCCTTAGAGCGGGCTTTGTTTATATTATAGACAGAGGTTCGGGTGGGTGGCAAATTCCAATCTTATACTGACAGAATGATAGCATAATTTTATGCTGAAATGGCCAAAGCTAGTACAGTACATATTTTATACATCTTACATGCTAAAACCTTACAGTTCTTATCTCTATGCTTAATTGCACGACAGAGTTCTTCATTTTGGAGATGGAGATAAGTAACTTAGCAAGGCCATGGGGCTCAAACCTGGTGGTAGCATGCTTTAAATGCTTCTTTATGAAATCTCATCCCCAAATTCTCTTAACTGAGCTATGTTTTTCATGGGATTTCTCTCTGTAAGACTGCGTCTGAGTTAAGTTATTGCTCAAAGTGAGTGGAGCCCAGGTTTCCTAAAATTATACATTCAGAGGATCTTTGGGCAGCTTTGTTGGCAGAGTGTGTATGTGTGTGTATATATATATATATATATATATATATATATATATATATATATATATATATATATTTTAAAGTAATAGCAACAGTGCAGTGGCTAAAACCATGATGTAGCCTAACTAAATACAAAAGCAACAGAAAGCTTTCTTTTTCCAAAGGAATATATGTTGTATCATTATAAAATAAAACTGAAAATTCACCAGTAATTTCACAGTAGTCTAGAATAAAACTCCACATTGCAAAATAGGCAGGTTCACTATGACTAAGTACCCTCCTTCGGGCAATATTCCATCCCATGAAAAAAATGATAGACTGTGGTTGCTGAGATGGCTCAGAGGGGAAATGTGTTTATTACCAAGCCTGGTCACCTGAGTTCAATCCCTGAGTCTCACATGGTGGAAGGAGAAAACTGACTCCTCCAAATTGTGCTCTGACTTCCACACATGCACTTGGTGTGTTCATAACGCACCCCCAACACGGATAAACAAACAAACAGACAAATGTAATAACTAAGCAAATTAGATTGTGTCCTGTAGGTCTGCTGGCTGGTGGCATTCAGGTTACTCAGAATCCACGGCACATGCTTTGGCTAAGCTCGATTGTCTTATTGTTCATGGAGACATTAATACAGTATTTACAAAACACCTGCCCTGCTTAGATTCTGTATGAACTTTTCCAGGCTTGTGGAAATAACCACCCATTAAAGATTGCTTATAGGCTGAAATAGTCTAGGTGCCAAATTACCCCATGAGCCAGTGAAGCTTAAGATGAACTGGTTTCCAAAGTTCACTAAGTGTCAGGGCCAGAACGTATGGCTGTAGACTGGATACAGATACAGATACAATGTGCTGTCACAGTAGAGCTCCGAGCACAGCTGTACTCACAGCATCCGGCATGGCAGGCAGCAAGCACTGGGGTATTTGTTGACTGTCTCAGACCTGTCATCACCAGTGCGAAGTGACAGGGAGTAAATTTGTATTGTCTTATGTGAACCAAATTCTCACTATTCAAAATTACTCCTTCAGCCTTTGAGCAATAGGTACCAACCACTAATAAATCTAAAGAAATTAGAAGTTAGAATCGGAAGGTGCCCACAGACTTGACCCAGGTGCCGAGCTGGTCTCTCATGTTATACATGCACTCTGCCCTCCATGTGTGTAGATTTCACATTTTCAAATGCCGTCAGACGTGAGTTGAGTATATATTTCTGAATGTAGCATGTACTAAAATATCCATGATCTTGTTTCGCTATCATTACCCCTTAACGAATACAGCATAGTAACCATTTGCATGCCATTTGCACTGCACTAGCTGTGATGAATAATTCAGAGATGCTTTAAAGCGTATGGGAGGATGTGCAAGGTTGTATAAAAACTTTGTCATTTTTGCTCATTTGTTTTGTTTTTTCAAGACAGGGTTTCTTTGTGTGTCCCTGGCTGTCTTGGTATTTGCTGTGTAAACCAGTGTGGCCTTGAACTCACAGAGATCTATCTGCCTGCCTCTGCCTCTGTCTTCCAGTGCTGGGGTTAAAGGTGTGCACCACCATTAACACGCAGCAACTTCTGTCATTTTAATAGATGGACTTCAGACTTCAAACTTGAACTGGTTTCTGACAGGGTCCTGAAAACCTTTCCCAGAGAATATCAAAGCAAATCTGCATTCATTGAACACCCAGCTGAGAGCCCTGGTTAGGCCTCTTCATTACTCATAACCGTGCTTGTAGGAGACACTAGTATCTGTGAAAGGACTTTCTGATCAATAGACATGTGACTGCACACAGCTCTGGGTGTGTGTGTGTGTGTGTGTGTGTGTGTGTGTGTGTGTGTGTGCGTGTGTGCAAAGCATACAAGCACATGTTCTGACTATCCTAAAATTCTGCCTGTCTGCTCTCTGAGTGGATCTTTTCATGTTAAAATATAATTATTTGAGCAGAAGTATAGGGCAAGTCCATTACAGAGTAGGGACTTTGTATGACAGCATAGTGTTTGTTGATTTTCTCATGCTGGGATCAAGCCCAGAACTTTGCATATGCCAGGCAAGTAGTCTAAGGTTGGGTTGCTCCCCA